CCTTTTCTCTCACCCTCCTACCTTATTTATTCTTCTTAATTTGGACATCACTTTCTCTGGGAAGTCTTGACTTGGTACCACTTGTCTGTGTGTTCCTTTGACACTGGCTAACTTCCCTTATCAGGGATTTTATCTCACTGCCCTGAAGTTAACTGCCTATTTGTTCTCTTTCAAATTCCCTCAGGGCAGAGACCAATTTACCTTGTTCACTATTGCATCTCCAGTACCTAACACAGTGCTTGAAGCACTGAATGAATGGCCACAGCACTACAGCATGTTTTCTGAACTCCTGCATGGTAAACCGTTGACAGCCCTGACTGCATGCAGAGGTGGGGAGGCTGTGGGGGCTCTCCCAGTATCATATCAGCCATTAGCAGTTGCTGCATTGTTGGCCTCCCAGATCTTAGGACTGTTTCTCTACACATAAACACAGGGCTACTTTTTCCTGTCTTAACCTCCATGACCAACAGTCTGGTGGTCCTTATCTCATCTGGGGAACATCCCTTAAAATCCTCATTCTATAGTGAAATCTGTTATCTCTAACTCTGAGATCACTATTGTATATTTGCCTGGAAATATTAGATTGACTGTATATTCAATATTTGGCAATTTCATATTGTTATTCTATATATGATCTTGTAAATTAGGCACATACCTGAGAAGCTAATTGTGCTGTAATGCGAACTGTGCATAGTTATAGACTGGAAGGAGGATGCGGTGGGCAGGTGGGGCTGGGACCGCGGGAATTTGGAGTGCAAGTAGAGGCAGATCAGTGAGATGGATCAGGCGATGAGAGAAGCTGGGCTAAAGAGTCCAATCATTTTGCCCTGTTTAGAAAAGGAATTATTTGGTTCAGCAGTGCTTTGCCTGAGAGCCCACAGGGACAGGTCCAAGACCACTGTTGGGACCCAAGGCCACTGGAGGAGAAATTGAGCTTCCCAGCCACATTTCCAAGCCCCCACTCCAACCCGCTGGCTCTGATAGAGGGAGGCCACTGGGAGGCAGCAAAGGCTCGCAGATGTCTCCTTACTGTATTTTGCTTTTGTTTTAAAAATTAATTGCGCTAATACTCTCTTAGAAGTTTAATTTAGCGTGATTTTCTAATCCTAATTAGACTGTACGACCAGAGATCCCGTTCCAGAAATTATTTCTTTCTCCCCCATCATTTCCAAGAATGTCAGAGCCTTTCCTCGTCCCAGGAAGGCCATGCCCAGGCCGACCCAAGTGTGGAGCTGGCGGGGCGGGGTGGACAATGGCAGAACGTGACACCCGGGGCTGAGCCGGGCCCCCGAGAACATTCCCCGGACCCCGGGCCTCAGGAACCCCGGGCCGACTTTGCCGCTGCTCAGCACCTCTGGCTACAAGGTGGAGACACCGATCTAACACCCTGAAAAACACCTTTAGAAAATAGCTTTTGGAGGAGGAGGTTTGGCGAGAGTCACCACACCATACGTCGATCCTAAAGCAGTTTGTAAATGTCACTCCTGTGTCTCAAAACGAAAACAACTCTCTAAGGTTTCGCGTCTTCCAGGAAAGAGCAGAGGAGACCTGGCTTGGGCCAAAGGAGGAGAGCGGGACCTTTCCATGGCTCAGAGGACCACTCGGCAGGTGCTGCGGTGCTGGGATCCGCGCGCAAGGAGGTGCCAGCACCGAGCTGGGCGGGGGTGCGCCCCGAGGTGACAGGAGGAAGCGGGAGGTGGAGGGCGGAGAGGAGGTCCCGCCCCCACCTCGCTCTCCTTTACGGGAAGTGATGTGGGGCCAGACGGAAAATACCCGCCAAGGACCCAAAAAAGGCCGGTAGCGGGTGGCTGCGGCGCACGCAGAGGCAGAACAGCGTGGAGACAGCAGGGACAGCGGGCCCAGCCAGGTGAGGCGGGCGGCTGCGGGAGGCCGGGGGCCGGGAGGCGCGTCCTGGCTGCCGACGCCCTCCGGGTTACGCGTCATGCCGCAGGGCTGAGTAGGGTAGTGGGCGAGCTGCGGGTCTGGTGCTGGAGCTGAACTGCGGGCTGTGGCTCCTTTTCTCCCCATCTCTGGGTGGGTGAGCTGGCCAGAAAAGTTGCTTTGCCCAGGCCCTGGATGGCCATCGCACAGCACAGACCCCGCGATGACAAGGTCCGGGAATGGGGTTCAGTTTGGCAAGGTGCTGATGAGGTGTAATCCCAGGTTGGGACGTGGGGGGCTGAGGTGACCTTTGCGTGGCATCCAGGTGAGAGTCCCCATCAGTGGGGGAGGAAACTTCACGGGCAGGAGAGGAGGAAGGTTCCCAGGCCTCCAGCACTGCCCTGTAGTTCTTCCCTCCCTCTTGTCCTTTGCAGTTGACTTCCTGAAGGTCTTGACACCTTTGTTGGCCAGGGTCTGGAGGGCAAACTGGCTGGGTGCGGGAGGGTTCTCCTTTCTTCTGACAGTGAGACCGAACGCCCTACCTGGCAGCCAGGCCCTCGGGCACTGACTGGTGGTAGGGCTGATGTGATGACAGGTTTCTGCAACTATTGCCAAAGGCTTGTCTCTCTGTCCCAATAGATCACCGATTAAGCCAAGTCAGGCTTAAGTTAAGGAAATCTTGGGAGCCCTTGACTCCTGCTTTTCCAGCGAGTGGTTCCTTCTGGCCACATGGCCTCAGAATCTTCTGCCACAGGGTTCTCCTCCTTCCCGCTGTGGGCTAACAGCTGTTTTTTCCTNAAGTTTTGAAATTAGAAAGTATGAGTCCATCAACTTTATTCTTTTTCAAGATTGTTTTGGCTATTCGGGGCCCTTTGCAATTTCATATCAATTTTAGCATCAACTTTTCCATTTCTGCAAAAGTGCAGTTTTTGGGATTTTGATAGAGTTTGCATTGAAGATGTAGATTGTTTGGGGGAATATTGCTATCCTTACAATATTATGCAAAAGTGAACATGGAATATCTTTCATTTATTTAAGTTTTCTTTAATTTCTTTCAGTAGTGTTTTGTAGTTTTCAGTATGTAAGTCCTGCACCTCCTTGGTTAAATTAATTCCTAAGTATTTTATTCTTTTTTTATGCTATTGTAAAAGGGATTATTTTCTTAATTTCCTTTCAGATTGTTCTGTGCTGATGTATAGAAATATGAGTATAACTGATTTTTGTATGTTCATCTTATATCCTGCATCTTTGCTTATTTCATTTATTAGCTCTAATTGTATTTTTTTTTGTAGATCCTTTAGGATTTTATATATATAAGATTATGCCCTTGGTTGCTTTTATTGTAAAAGAGCATTTAGATATCAAGATTTGGATGCTCAATGTGTTCATAATTACTGTGATATAATTGCTTCTAGGTCCTCTTAGCAGACAGTGCTTGAAAAAACATACATACATGCATATCTTTATATCACTCTATTTCTGTCTATTCAAAATCATGAGTTTTCACTGATGCCTCCAATTTCCATACTATTAGTGGTACTGGAGCTGGGACTTTACATGGTTCAAGCTGCAGCCTGTAGTGTCAGAGAAGCCCCAGGGTGTGAAGCAAGAGGTATTCTTTGACCAATTCTGTGGCTGGAGTAGGAAGTGGTATAGACAGGATTTTGAACTGGTGTGCAAGATGTATCCAACACATTTAGTTTCTGTAGTAACTTTTCCTTGTTTGCCTCCTACCTGTCTTGGCACTCTTTTCTCAGACTTCTTTGGTTGGGTGATCCTCTGGGTTCTGTACCAAGCCCCTCTCTGCCCTCTTACTACATTTTCCAGACTAGCTCATTGACTCTCATGTCTTTGAGTAAGTATCCTTTGGGCAATATCTTCAATACATGTCTTCTGTGCTTCAGATCAATCTAGTCAACTGCACACTAAAGAGTTTCACTGGGATGTTCTGCTGGTGCTGGTATGTCAAAGTTAAAATGTCTTAAACTTGTTCATTATGGTCTATTTCACCCTCCCTCCCTGCTGCAACAGGGCATTCTTGCTTTTGCTCAGTGGCTCCTAGTTGCCCGATCCAGAAACATGGGCATCTCCATGGAGTCCTTCCTCTCCGTCATTCCCTAAGTCCAAGTCTGTTAAATGCCTCAGATCTGTCCATTCATTTTCATCTTCCTGGCCACTGCCTTAAATCAGATCAGTTTTATCTCTCATTTGGATTTCAGCATGCTAATTACCTCTCAAATCCATTCTCAGTTTTATAGCCATTAAGAAGATGGGTTCTAAGTTCTAGTCCTTGCTGTGGTAGTTATTAGCTATATGATCAGGTTGCTTAATCACTTTAAGGCTCAGTTTTCTCATCTGTAATATGGGGATAAGAATAGCACTTATTTCATAGGGCATTTGTGAGAAGTAAATGAGGTAATACATGTTAAGTTTTTAGCATATTGGCAGATTCATAGTAAATGGTCAATAAATATTAAATGTTATCATTATAATCATTCCAGGGTTCTTCATAATCCAGCCTCTGCTTATTTGTGCAGTTTAGTTTAGT